TAAGCACATTATTGTCACCAGAGACAATAAACACATCATCTATATATGTAAAAATCAATTGTTGTTCGTTGGTAATGGAATCAGTTGAGAAAGGGTGGACCGATTTGCATCATATCGCGAGTTACGTTTTTAAAGAAAAAAATATTGAACACGCCTACTTTTACGCCCACTATTTTGATTCATCCTTATATTTGCCAAATAATAAGAATATCAGCTTGAAAATTATTATACAAGATACTGTTGACCTTCCATCAAATCCTAGGTATTTATTTGGCCGCTGGAGAATTGACCACGTCTACTTTTTAATCTATATATATATATTCGTTCTACCCCGAGATAGGTTTTTATTCAAAGAAAAAGAGACCACGCCCAATTTAACGCCCATTTTTTATTTACCTAAAATCCTAATATTTGCCAACATCATGAAGATTCCACAGTTAGTATATGACGTAATCTTGACTCTCCCTCCAACCTTAGGTATATATTTGCGGTCAGAGGAACTACCCACACCTACTTCTTTAAATCTGTATGTAAACAATTTTAAAAAGTATAGTAACACATTAGTTGAGAACGACTGGGCCAATTTGACTCAAATTTTCTTTTGGTTATTTGTAATTACAGTGGAAACGTTTTCATGAAAGAAAATGTTGAGAAAAGCCTCTATAATAATCGCCTTTCCTATATGGAGTCATGTGTAGAATTGTTAGGAGTTTACACCTTTGTTACTTCGTATTATTTAATACCTGACGTATGCCTCCGACTTTTCACCTCAAGAGTTGAATATTTATATGAAAGCTACCGAAATACGACGAAAGTAATATTTTTAATCCGGTTTATCTAATTCGCTAAACGATGCAGAAAGTTTGTTTCGATATTGATATTTTGATGGATTCAAATTTACATTTTAATAATCAGGCTGTAGCAATGACAAACAAACAGTTATTTACATCTCAGTATTAAATATATTGAGAAAAAAATTGAAAAAAAAATCCGAAACAATTTCTGATTTTTGCATTGGAAAATTGTCATTTTACCATTGTCATTTTTGCAGTCGCATATAAACTCTATGCTGATACCAAAAATTTAAATTATCCATATATATATATATATATATATTTATATATATATATATATATATATACATATATATATATATATATATATATATATATATATATATATATATATATATATATATATATATATATATGTTTAACGTCATGACATATATGTTTAACGTCATACAAAATTCTGGTTCTGGAGTAAAACAATTTCATTTAAATCAAAATAAACGTAAATATATTTAATTTGCGAGTTACAAGATGCAGAAATATCCAAGCAACGAATCGAGCATAATTGGTGCATTGAATTTATAATTTATAAAAAAACTTATGAGAACATTGTCTTTTAAAATAATGTTAAAATTCTATTTATTTTTTGAAATTTATATATATATATATATATATATATATATATATATATATATATATATATATATATATATATATATATTAACCATTTTATTATGCTGGCATTTTATTATGCTGTCGCACCGGTAAGACCTTCGCCTCCTCATGTAGGTGGTCGACAGGTGTCATGACGAGGCACCATGTTGCGATTCTAAGGCCTGCATTCTGTCAGGACTGACTATTTTTCCACTGCGTAGCACTAACGCTGGTGGTCTACACCGGAGCCGCATAGTTTACCACAGACCGGCATATCGCGTTAATCAACTATGTAAGCATTTAACCGATCGCATATGTCACCTGTGATGGGTCCAGAAAGGTCAGAAAGGTAGAAGTTAAACAGTTCCGGAGATATGTATATATATATATATATATATATATGTATATATATTTATATACATATATATATATATATATATATATATATATATATATATATATATATATATATATATATATATATATATATATATATTAACCATTTTATTATGCTGGCATTTTATTATGCTGTCGCACCGGTAAGACCTTCGCCTCCTCATGTAGGTGGTCGACAGGTGTCATGACGAGGCACCATGTTGCGATTCTAAGGCCTGCATTCTGTCAGGACTGACTATTTTTCCACTGCGTAGCACTAACGCTGGTGGTCTACACCGGAGCCGCATAGTTTACCACAGACCGGCATATCGCGTTAATCAACTATGTAAGCATTTAACCGATCGCATATGTCACCTGTGATGGGTCCAGAAAGGTCAGAAAGGTAGAAGTTAAACAGTTCCGGAGATATCACCCCACCTTGGGAAACTGCCTGTTTCTACGGAAGCTCGACAACATCTTCCAACGTAAATTGTGGTGGTACACGGCGTAGGATTGTTCTCTTAGTCCTGTTGAAATAACACGCGCACATCTTCGGATCTGTCACTTTTACCCCGTTAAATGAGACAGATGTCCGATTATCCTTCTTTCCAGGGTTCGAGAGCGACTTAACCGTTGCCCCAATTTACTCGATCCGGTACTGATGTTGCAATGCTTCATATATATGTTCCAGCCACTTTTTCCGCTTATAATCAGCAACTAACCTGTTTACCTCCTGAGGAAGTTCCCTGAATCTGGGGTTAGGGGTTAGTACGGCGAAGCTCATCTCGCTCATTTGCTAATCCCTTGTGCCGGCGTTAAGTACGGACGCGTTTTATTTTTCGTTGCTAATGAATTTTTTTTTCATAAGTAAAACAAAATAAATAATATAAAAGCAAACCGTACGCTATTAAATAAACTCAGGAAATAGAATCTATAAAAAACCTGCTAAAAATCCTTTTTATTAAGAATTTTTGCAAAATAGTTTTTTTTCTACTTTATCCTCTTTTTCCCCAAACACATAAATCGGTTTGTTATAGTGTTAACAACAACAAGTGTACGTCACTCTCTCATACGGAAGGGAGAACGGGCAAAACGTATATCTTAAGTTGACGTCGACAGATTTCAGCTCAACCACGCCAAAACGCCACGAAAGCTGGTATCTTACGGCTAAACCCCAAAGCCGTTCTAAATCGGCGATGCCGAGAGTTTTTCATGACAAAAATTTGCCAGCTGAGACTACTCCCAACGAAACAAGAGAAATGTCATATAAACAAAACAATGTTAACACGCCCAAAATAAATTCTATAAAGGTGCTATCACACAATGCGATTGCACATCAAGAAACTATCGCTTCAAGTAAGCGGGCGTCTCTAGAAAAAAAAAAAAAACAAGAAGCAAAACAAAGTTCCTCCAGGCATGGACCGATATGTCTTATTAACAAAGCGAAAGGCTAGTTCTAGAACTCCATACAAGGAACCAAAAGCTAAAACCTAAAAGTCTATAAACAATGGCCGCAACAACAGATTCTCAATTCTCGGCTCGAATAACGAGACTGATGAAATGATACAACCGGTTAGATCCCAAAAACCTCCCCCACTATATCTTCGCGAAGAAACTACAAACAATCTTGTGAACAAACTCTCCCAAATATTGGGTAAACCTAATTTTCACGTGGTATCTCTTAAGAGAGGAAATCTCCATGAGACGAAAATACAAACTTATACTGAGTCGCATTATAAGAACCTAGTTCGTGCTCTGGATTCTGAGAAGAAGAATTATTACACCTATCAGATCAAGAGCTCAAAAGGACTACACCCATAGAGGACATAAAAGATGCTCTCGCAGCAGTAGGATTCGAAACAAAGTCTATCATCAACATTTTCAATAAAGATAAAGTTCCGCAACCTATGTTTAAAGTAGAACTAAGATACGAATCTTCGCAACTAAAGAAAAAGCGACAATTTCATCCAATTTATAGCCTTAGGCTTCTTTGTAATCGCGGTGTGAAAATTGTTACTTCGTATTATTTAATACCTGACGTATGCCTCCGACTTTTCACCTCAAGAGTTGAATATTTATATGAAAGCTACCGAAATACGACGAAAGTAATATTTTTAATCCGGTTTATCTAATTCGCTAAACGATGCAGAAAGTTTGTTTCGATATTGATATTTTGATGGATTCAAATTTACATTTTAATAATCAGGCTGTAGCAATGACAAACAAACAGTTATTTACATCTCAGTATTAAATATATTGAGAAAAAAATTGAAAAAAAAATCCGAAACAATTTCTGATTTTTGCATTGGAAAATTGTCATTTTACCATGTCATTTTTGCAGTCGCATATAAACTCTATGCTGATACCAAAAATTTAAATTATCCATATATATATATATATATATATATATATATATATTTATATATATATATATATATATATATATATATATATATATATATATATATATATATATATATATATATACATATATATATATATATATATATATATATATATATATATATATATATATATATATATATATATATATATATATATATATATATATATATATAAATATGCACGTTCTAGAAAACAACTATCACGCACAAGCACAGGTATTTGAACAATTTACGTGTATTCAACATTCATTTCAATTGTCAACGCTATTTTCATATTGTATTTTATAAAAATCCGGAATATATTCGGAACGAAGTTTTTACAAAATTGGTGTAATGTGTGCCCACAAACGGGAAGTGAACGCAGTCCTGTATGATTGATATTGGACTTCTCAAATTTGTTCTGTTTATACTATTTCTTTTAATATTTTTTGATCATCTTTTGTAGCATAACAATTTTAATTAAAAAAAGTGCGATCGTAATTTTAAAATGTTTTCACAAGTAATCACTTTCAATTGGAAACTGGAATGATTCTAGAAAAACGGTTAAATTATATAAATACAGCAAATGACACAAAATATTAAATGAAAAGATTATTATAAATTAATGCTTTTATAAATTTAATGCTTTTAATATAATTGCATTTATATTCATAATAAAAACTACTATTATTTGTAAAGGTTCTTATAATTTGTGATACGCTATTATCTACCATAGTACCTTTATTTTGAAATCATGAAATTAAATAAAGGAATAATTTATGAATTTTACTTTCAGGCTTCTGAGCACAAGAGGAGTCAAAAAGAGATTGGAGATATAGCTGGAGTAGCCGATGTTACAATACGACAATCATATAAATTGATGTACCCGGAAGCAGCAAAACTGTTTCCAGAGGACTTTAAATTTACTACACCAATTGAGCAGCTACCTCAAATGTGAAGTTAAATTAATATTAATAAACAAAGCACTGAAGCAAAATATAATAAAAATTCAAATAAATTATATATAACATAAACACTTACAGACTTTGGACATAATGAAATCCTTGCCAGAATTCAAATATAAAAATGAGACGTACATCTCATGGAGGAAAGCAGCAAATACCGCTTACAAAGTTTATGAAAAATGCAATAGAGGTTCTAACAATGATCGAACTCCAGGCTTAGGTAAGGAATTTCTTGCTACCAGAATTTGGACATAATCCTTGCCGGAATTCAAATGTAAATATGAGACGTACATCCAATAGAGTAAAGCAGCAAATATCGCTTACAAAGTTTATGAATAATGCAATGGAAGTTCTAAAAATTATCGAACTTCAGGCTTACTGAGTAGCAAGATTATAGGTTCTGCAGATATGACTTTTTATACCCTCCACCATTCTATGGAGGGAATATTAACATTGCCATTCCGTTTGTAACTCCTCGAAATATTTATAATAGACCCTCCAAAGTATATATATTATGGATCAGCGTAAAATTATAAGGCGATCTAGTGATGTCCGTCTGTCTTTTGTAATCACCCTATCTTTCAAACGAATTGAGATAGAAGGCTAAAATTTTGCCATGTCGGCCATGTCGGTCCACTTTTTCGTATATCCCCCATATAACGATACCTCCCGATATTCGGTATTTTCATGATTTTAGCGACAGTATTTACCGGAATTCAAAATTCAAATTTCATATTTAAAGTTCGTAATGGGTACTACAGCCTACCACAAAAATTTTTGTCTGCAGGTCCACGTTTTCGTATATCCCCCATATAGCGGTACATCCCAATATTCGGTATTTTAACAACTTTAGCGACATTTTTGACCGGAATTGTTTGAAATTTGGTATTTAAAGTTCGTAATGGGTACTACAGAGTATGACAAAATTTCGTAAACAGGTCCACGACTTGGTATAGTCTCCATATAACAGTTTTCATTTAAGTGGTAGTTTCCGGAAGTTTTTTTTTTTGAAAATTTTCAAGTTCTTTCCAAATGGTGGAGGATATTAAAAGTTCGGCCCCGCCGAACTTAGCTGCTTAGCTTTTTGCTTGTTATCCTTTGATACTCTTCTACCAGGGTAATATGACTCTCGACTATACAACGACGAAGTCAAGATAGCCCGACCCCGTCATGACATATGACACCAAAATAGCATTCTGATTGAATAGAGAATACAGAGCAGACGCGCTGAGAGTAGTCATATCTGAAACCAGAAAATCGCCAAGCGTTGTCCTTTTGGCATTAACCAAAAAAGTTGAGGCTAATCGTGATTGTTATATGTTTGCAATTAGCTTTGCCCGAAGCACTGAAGAAATGCTTGAAATTCTGAAGAAAACAACAAATTCAAAAATCCTCACTTTAATACAATATAGGGATAATAAGACCAAGTACACCCCATTTCGATTAGTCGATAAGAGAATGGGTACATTTTCCGGATTAAGTCGGTTAAGTAGACGTGCTGCACCAACGTAGTTTCCAGCGGGTACAGATTGTACATCGTTCTTGCAATTCAAATGCAACGGACTGCGAGGCAAAATATATGAGACTGGAATTTGTGAATGGGAGGAATATTTTGATTGCAGCGGTGATTTAATAATTATTCATTGCAGCATTACAACGCATTGAAGAGAGATCGCAACCGAAGTGGACGTGAGGTATTAGCATTCTATTACACGATTCTGTTCAATACGGACCTATCTCGTGACCCATACATGGAATGTATACACGAATTCACGATATACAGGCATGTCACAGGAATGAATTCGGTATGAAAGTAATTTTATTTATATTTCGCTTCTTCAGAGAACGTAAATCGCAACATTTTTTTGATATGGAACCATTTTTGTTTTTGCAAGTAAAATTGTATTTTTATGGAAACTTGTGCTTTTTAAACTCTTATTAAAAATAATTAGCAAATTTCAATGGTTTCTCAATTGACGAAGGCAATTGTTAACAAATTGTTGGCAAATCACTTTTTTCGGCAAACAAAAATTATTAATCTGTGAAAGCCAAACAATGTGGTATTACGAATAATAAACTGAAGCAAAGAGAAAAAACAAACAAAAAGAGCACACAAAAAAGAATTTTGTACAAAAATGTATCTTAAAATATGTGAAATATGTATTGTGGAATGCTGTTTAATCAATAATTAATATTCGGAAAGGCAGGCACAGGCACAGAAATTCGATCCGAAGCATCTCCTAAATTCCTCCGGCGTATTTTTCAGTATTGTGTTTATTACTTTGCGCCTCAATTACATTTCGTAAAAAATAATGAAATTAACTTTTTGTGCAAAAAAACTCCCATTAACATAATATTTTTCACAAGTTACACATCTATAATGTTTTCTAATCATGTGTTTTGTTTTGATTTCTCATTCATTAGTTCTTTTATTCCCCTAATGTTACCACATTGAATATATAATGTTGCCATATTTACACTGAATTCGTAGTTCACTAAATCGTACGAAATCTGAAGAAGCCAAAGTAAAAATGGATTTTAATTTAGTTCAAACCATTTCGATACGATTTTGTGGCATGCCTGATAATCATTGTTTTAACCACACTGATCCCAGAGTCAGTGAATTGGCCGAATGGTGCCACCTGGTTCTCCCAAGGTGGAATGATATTTTTATTAAACCTCTTCCTTTCTGTTGTGACACTTCATGTCAGCAGTCCCTGATGATAAGATAATTAAAGATAAGTCTGAAGATTTAGTATTCTCACATGTGTAAACATGATTGGTGTTTCAATAATCTCCGAAATTTGAATGAATCCATTACCATAAATGTTGCGAAAGACACTGAAAATCTTTTAACTTACAATAAAGGTGCAATCAAAGGATATTGGAAAGATACATCAAAACACAATGAAAGATGTCCTAACAGAAAATGGAATATGCGTTGAATTTTCTAAAAGTGTTGCTCGTTTGAAAAGGGATGAAAAGGTCATTATGACAGCTCCCAAGAAAGGAAGTTTGGACGAATTGCAAAAAAGAATTGAATATAGGGCAAATGCAAGTTTAAGTACAACTGATTTGGGAAAATTATGGCACTCAAGAATGGTTTATGGTTTGGAAAATGTTAAGACTGTAAGTATTACAATATATGAGTTCAGGGTAAGCAATGTCGTTGTCCTTTTAAAGATAGTCGCCCAAAGTCCAGTCGCATTCTCGAAAGAATCCATAGTGATACATGTGTACCAATTGATCCGCGAACATGGGATGGTCACAGATATTGTAAGCTTCATAGATGATTGTAGTCACTTCGCTTTCATATACCTACTCAAAAGAAAATCAGATGCATTTGACGAATTTGTCGAATTTGAAGCAATCGTTAGGGCGATGCATAATACCTCGATATCAGTAGTAACTGTAGACCAAGTTACAGAATATATTTCAAACAAAGCAAAGAAATATTTTAAAAGAAAAGGAATTCAACTTCAACACACAGTTTCTTATACACCACAGCAAAACGGGATTGCTAACAGATTTAACCGCACTTTGTTTGAAAAAGTAAGGTCTATGGTTAAAGAATCTGGTTCTACGAAAGAATTATGGGGTGAAGTAGCCTTAGCAGCAACATATCTTCTAAATAGAAGCCCCTGCAAATCTGTTTCTGACAAAAAGACACCTGCCAAATTGTGGTAAAAGTTTAATCCTTACATTTCAAAACTATGCTTTGGGATGTAAGACATTTGTCGGGTAGCTAAACAGAAAAAAAAAAAGAAAACCCTCAATCCCGCAGCAACGAGCAAAAGGGTGATGAATAGGTTTCTGCAGAAAATGATAACGATATCGATTCTACCGATGAAGAAACTATTATTAACGAAAATGAAGTCACGACTACGCAGTCTGAATCACCAAAGTCTGAATTTTAATTAATAGGGTATATACCAGGAAATGCCAATTCTGCAATTTCTCATTGCATAGAGGAGCACAAAACATATGACGAAATCATGAGGGATTCCTTTAAAGATAATTGGATGAGAGCTGTGAAGGAAGAGCTTGAAGAGAAAATCGTGTTTGGGATTTGGTTCCACACCTTGTCAAGCCTAAAGTATTGAAGTTCAAATGGATATTTTGCATCAAAGAGGATGCAAATGGTAACCCCGTCCGATACAAAGCCCCACTAGTAGCGAAAGGCTTCCTTCAGAGAGTCGGAATTGACTATGAAGAGACCTATTCACCGGTGGCGAAACTTAGTACAATTCGGATAATATTAGCGGTGATCGTTAAGAGAAATTTACATTTGCACCAGCTTGATTTAAAAGCTGCATTTTTTCACGGGGATTTAAAAGAATATATTTACATGGAAGTTCCTGACGGATTAAATTCTCCTAAAAACCAAGAATGCAATTTACGAAAGTCGCTTTATGAACATAAACAAAGCCTAAGATGCTGGAACGAAAGATTTAACAATTTCTTCCTCCAACTTTGTTTTAGATGTTTACAATTTTCAAAGAAATTCGTTTTTGTACTTGCTACTATATGTGGACGATGTATTGGTTACGGAAAATGATTTAAAAGCAATAGAAAAAGTAAAGTCGGATCTACGTGCATTATTCAAAATTTCGGATTGTGAACCCCTACAATATTACTTGGGAACGAAGATTGAATGTAAAAAGAGAAACCACATTGAAAAAATTCTTGGAAAATTCTCAATGAAAGCGTGAAATCCTACAAAAACTCCAATGGAAAAAGCATTGATTCTTCCAATAAAAACGCAAGAGTTAACGGACAAACCATATCATGAAATGCTGGGAAGACTATTGTATTTAATGTTAAGCGTCCGACCAGACATATGTTATCAAATATCGTACATGGGTAGATTTCAAAACAGTCCAGGCGAGATACATTGGTCTGCATTAAAAAGAATTGTTCGCTACATTAAAGGAACTTAAAGTTATTAAAAGAACTCGACATGATTTACCAAGATAATTTTAGTGATGAAGGACTTTTGTTAGTTTGTAGATGCCGATTGGTCTTCAGATAACACAGTGCGCAAATCTGTAAGCGGGTTTATTTTTAAA